GGTTGATTTTACACTGTTTTCAATGGAGCTTGAATTAGTTCAGTGCACCCATAGAGACACTTGCAAGTGCGACCTCTCTCTGCCATAATATTTCCTCTCGCTTTTCCTGGAGTCAAGAGCGCCCTCTCGTTAAAAGCTCTGAGAGAAACAAGCCCCACCACCAATTTATTTTTGCTTATACTAATATCAATCAAGGGCACCATCAGGTTTAAAGTCTGTTTTCATTTGGGGCACTCGTAATAATGTCCTGAACCAGACGTTATGAGCACACTGGCGTCGCAGGGATGGGGTGGACAATGCAACCCCCCCTCGGAAATATTGGATCAGATTAAAACGTTGGAACCTAAAGAAGGGGAAAACGGAACAGAAAAAACAGAATAGGAGGAAGAAAGTCGCCAGCTTCCCATGGAAATGTCACAGAATACGGACGTTTCACAATAGGGCGTCTCCGAGAGTTTGCAACGCGTTGGCCAATCACAATGTTCGCAATCTGTCGACCCAGCACACGTTTGGAAAGGGTCGACAGATTTCGCGCATTGTGATTGGCCGGCGCGTTGCAAACTCTTGGAGCGCACTATTGTGAATTGCCTGTATTGAATCCCAATCCGGGCCAACCCCATACCATGTACCACCCCTCCGCTGTCGACGTCTTGTCAATCTGGTGAGTTCTCCTCCAACCTTCCTTTAAAGAACCATTCCGCCTTTCATTTCGAGTCAGATGGGTTTAAATGGCCGATACAGGTCGCCCGAAAAGGAAAAGTCTGCCCATCTGTGATCTGCGCCCTCACCCATCGTCTTACTAATAGATTTTCTTCCCGTACCCTCTCCTATTTGGAACACAGAGGGCGGTAACACACTGACTCGCTCCATGGGGCACCGGTCACGACCGAATCTAGTATGTGGGGTTGTAGTTCTTCGTAGATTGCAAGTGCGTGGAAACAGTGCTGATGACAAGACTTTGCTGAAGCTGGTAAAGCCCGTTCGGACTCCCAATTAACGGGATAAACCTTATTCACGGATATCACGGGGAGCCATTTTCGATCGTGCCCCTCAAATTTGTCTTATTTATTATAATTTGTTCCACAGGGTGGTGCCAGACTATTTTGGGTTCCAGAACATTCACGTTCACTTCTTTTGTAACGTTTCTTTAAAACGTACTATTAATTAATCACAAATTTCAAATTGTTTATCAACATATAACTGGCATTCATTTGTAATGAACTTTTATTTCATGCTTTAATTTTTACTATGTGGTCCAATAAAATGAAAGAGGTAACCTCGCTTTCAACTTTTTTTATATAGCCAATAGACAAATCCGACGAGACGCCATTCCGAGCGGCCAGTTACACTCACGCAGCTGTTTTAACCTGAACCTATAATGAAACCTTAACGATATGAAAATGAGTACACCCAATTTCCACTTTTGCCCCGCCCCTGCCTTCTTTTCCTTCGCTTTTGAGTCCCTGCTGTGCTCGTTGCAAAGTATTCATTTGATGGCTGGGCCGTACAAAGTGCAGTCACTAAACGGGTTGTTCATCCAGATGTCTGAAGCAATTTATCTCCTGGGTAATTATCATTTACCGGGAAGCGGTTCGTGATTCCGGGCGCAATCTCCGAAGTGGTCTTCTGCTCTTCTCGGCGTATACAGGGAGCAGATGCTGGTCATGTAAACCCCATTCAGAGGAGTTTCTGATTTCGAAGAGAAATCGTTTTCCTATTTTTACCGAGGGTTAGAATCCTGGAAGCGGTGAGTACTCATCGCAGGATTTGTCACGCGCACTGCGTACTTGGCAACGAACCAAAATAATTGAATTTTTGAAGTCCCCAAAATGGTGTCTATATTAAGGCGAATCATTTTTTCCCAAGATTACTTTGAATTTATTTCCTTCTGTGACAGATCGAATGATGAGAACCTTTGCGGTTGCACCACGCCTCTTTTCCCCTGAGAGCTAATTGTTTCTAACAAAACCGGCTCTTCCTGAGCTTCAGAAAGATTCACAAGGGGAGAAGTCGTAAGCAAACAATAAGGTAAGCAAACATCAAGAGTGTTATTGTTCCGTAGATTGCTTAATTGGGCCGTGTTTTTGGAACGATCTTCAAGTTCAGGTCGACTCTGTCACCAGCGGAACTGTACTGTATCATTGCACAGTCACAAAGCGTTTTCAATACATAATTCCCAGTAGAATTAATTAAGGATCCTAAGATCAGACTTCTGACTGCAATGCGTTTTTGCAGCTGCAGCTTCAATATTATACAAATACAGCATGGTTTGAGGGGAAGTAGTGGAATTACTTGTCCCGAGGTGTAGGTCAGCTCGACTACCTCCCGACGCGAAGCGGAGGAAGGTGGTCAAACTGACCTACACCTTGGGACCAGTAATTCCAACTATTTTCCCGAAATAAACCATGCTGTATTTGTTTTACTACACTTCGTAAACATTCAAACATAAATCTCACGTTACTTGTACTCACAGACGCCATTGTTGTTTCTCAGCTGCTAAATTTCCATGTGATGATAGTGGAGTGCAGATGTGCATAGAAACAGGGCTTCAATAGTCTGGTGCTGACGTACTTTTCGGATCTTTACTGTAATAGTTATTAGGATACAACTCCAGACTGGTTCCGTAAAGATTACATGACACAGACTACATATTTACGCGGCGGGTTCCGGAGGGATTTTTTGATGCTACCAGAAGAAACTACCGCACGGCAGCGAGGTGGATACTCATCGCTACGACGTCACCTGGTCGCGTATCATTTCTGCTTCCCAGACGCGGGATGAAATCGGCCAATGGCACGCTCCGATTTGCTCCTGAATATTTATGAGGTGTATTAATCTATTCTTTTGTTGGTAATAGACCGTTTTTGCAGGTACCAAATTTCAGTCAGATTCCCCAACGTAGTGTATTCATTTGCAAACGTTAAATTCAAAGAACCTTCAGACTGTATTCTACGATTTCATTCCTCCCCAAAATCGCCTGGTACCATTCCATTTAGGATTTCAAATGTATACTATATATTCAGGAATACGACTGAAACTGTGTCTCCCGCAGATACGGTATATAGATCTAAAACAAAATGACGTCAAACATTATTTATATGCGCTTTCTATCCTATCTGCCTTGAGCGGAAACATCCCTCATCGGTTAAAAAGAGGCTGGCTTGTTGGGAGTGTTCATTTTTCTGGCAGTGACGCGACCGTAACGCGGACATAATCGTTCGTGAACCAGCGATGCACTTCCGACCAAAGGAGCCTCCGTTGCTGGGAAAATTGCGCCCTCTCTTGTTCCAGTTCAGGGTTCATAGGGGCTTGATGGATTGTGTCCCATCTAGCGCAGTAGGAAAGTGCATATGTACTCAAAGTGTAAAGTCATTATGTTGCATGTTCGATGTCTGTTTGGGTGTTTGGGTGTGTGATTCATCTACTTCGCGAGCCCTTACAGCCTGTGGGTTTTGTTTACCATTAATATCAGGCACGAATTTGTCTGATAAACACCAAACATTCCTTGATGAGCAGCGGGAACGTGACCCCGTTGGGACGGCCAGTTGTGAACGGGGCCCACGCAGGAATGATGTCAAGCTTGTAGTATCACTTGAAGCGAAAGGTAGCGGGTCCTCATTCAAAAAGTGTTTGGAAATGTGTTCAGCTCTAAGCGCCTCTATACAGCGTGGGTCTACCGACAACGGTTCAAACTATATTCTCTGGTTCATGTCTTCAAAGAGACAATATGATGAAAATCAGACTTTTCACCGTTGACATTTTATTTTTGTGATGTTTAGTTCCACCATATCCTGTGTCTTTTCTATGTCGAAGAGAATGGTTGTGGTATTACCAAGGTCCTCGTGGGAATTTCCAAGAAATGAGGAAAGGCTTACAAGTTACAAGCCTGCGCAATAAATTATTCTGGGTCACTGAAAGATGCAGTGCCGCCGCACGCTCGATGCGGTTTGGCTTTCCAACGTGCTCAAGTTTGGGAACCTAATCCGTATACCAGTAAGATTAATACTGATTAAAAAAAAGCCCCTTAACAAGACCGGCATGCCTCGATTCCAAACTGGTGCCTGTCCGTCTAATATCTCCAGGGACTGGCCTATCACTGACTGCCACCTGATATTGGATTTCCTGTGATTCTTGGTTTTAATCATTCTCTTTCTTTTGATCCTCGTTTCCACTCCGAGCTCTGCGAAAGGTCGGGAAGGATGTCCCTGAATGATTAAAGTACAGTTGCAGGCGGGAGCCCAATGACACGGCGGGAAAGCGTGGATCCAATCAAGCATTTTTTATGTAATTGGTAACACAGACGCCCGACCGTGTACCACGCCACATCAGCCCCCCCCCCACAAATTCCCGGTGCCTCCCAGGTGCCCCCACTGAAAATAAAAACTGGATGAATGGATATTGAACAAGGGTGACAAAAACTTGTCCCCAAAACCACACCCCAGAAAGCTGGTGCCCCATAAGATGCTGGTGCCTCTATGTGCCCCCACTAGTAAAATCCTACTAGCTACACCACTGCGCCGCACTTGCCCTGGCTGTCCCCCTCCCCCACCCACGACGCTGGTCCTTCCAAGAACCTTTCTCATAGCACATCACGCAGTCATAAAGTTTTACCTCCCACTGATTTGTTGGTAAACTATGCCTGGCCGTCAGTACAAATCTCAGGCAAATGGGGATTAGAGTGGGCAAACAAGAATCGAGTTGGTGGGGAAGACTGGCAAGGGTAGGCCTGCCAGAATGCTCGAATCGAGCACTGGCACACATTTCATTTCTGTAATAGATCCAGTTTACTCGCTGGTTAAAAAGTAAAAGCGATCGCAACTTTTCACATAGCTGATTCGTCAGGAGCCTTCACGTTGCGGCTCAAGCCTTGGCGTTTAAAAAAAAAACCGATGACGAAACATGAGTGTAGTCATTGTTTGCATTTACAGCACTCACCATCGCACGATTAGAGTTGACTTTGAACTCGTTTCGAGCATAAGACTACAGCGCCGTGCATTCGGGCCTGAACGGAAATGCTTAACGAGCAGTTCCACATTACGGTAATTGAAGTCATTGCCCCGGGCGCTTTGCTTCGTACTGCGTCGCACCGGTATCGGCTGGGCGGGTAGACGGCGTGCCACCGTCGCCCGAAAAACGAGCGATGCTCAGGGTTCCCGCGACGCTGTCGTCTGCGCCGAAACGGTTACAACGATACTGCCGCTGCCTGTTCAGATTGGGGATCCATCCGGAAAGAAACGGCTTTAACATTGACTCAACTCAAGCTGTGTGAGGAAAAAAATCCTGAAATTCTGTGAAGCAACTAGACTAGGTATGTCTTGATTCCTGCGGCAGAATGCCTTTCCGGAAAACTATTTGATAATAACCCATGAAGAACGTTGCTTTGCACACGCATCCACGTGTATTTTATACGTGACGTGAGCCACTTTTCAGTGTGGTTTGTTGCGGCCCATTGAAACTTATACAGATCCCACAAGTTCAGATTCTGTTGACTGTGTTTGTGTGAACGAGGTTGTCACGTCTGCAGTTCAGGTAAAGTGCAGTCTTATCATCCTAACGCGTGCGTCCCAACCTTTAGGTAGCACGCATAACTCCGACTGACTGTGAGTTGATTTTGCCTTTGCTCGGTTTCCCTGATTGGCTGCGGGCAAGTTCGCAGAAACCGCTTGAGGAAATCACGTGACGAGAGTGCAGGCGATCCAACGTGCAGTCCGTCGTATGTGACCCGCGATCTCCTTACACTGCGTATCCGATCGTGACGTCTGGAGGGATACCCGTTCGCCCGTTGCAGGTTTATCAATACCGTGGACCATTTGTGCGCCGCGCCTTCAATCAAACTTCAACAACGGCCCAGTTGTTCCTATTATCCTCGTGTCCACGTCAAGTCAAGCCTCATATTTGCTCATATACGAACCAGATCGGCAAACACTCCGTCGTGGAGGAACATCGTCTTGTTTGCTCGCACTAGATCATGTTTTTTTTCTTTAGGTAGTTTGACCGACCATTTTGCAATCCTCCAAAGGCGACTTGGTTACTGTGATCCCGAGGCTTTCTTGCGCGGCCTCATTTTGTGGGGTCGGGGCGCATCGGTCGGTTTCCGCGAGATGCTCTCGGCCAGCTTTCTCTCGGCCGTCGTTTGGTAACTTACATCTTTGGTGGTTCCACTCGGAGTCTGTTGCTGGACGCTCTCGTATTTGTTTCGGCCGTCAATAGACTGACATATCGCCCTTGATTGCGAGCTAAGATCTCAGTTATCTGCAAAGAGCGAGGCTGTCAATTAGGAGAGGATTCACCAGCAAGCGAAACAAGGTAAGAGAGGCCGTGTTATCATTAAACGGTATAATTGTGGGTTTTTTAGTCATAGTTAATCGTACCTTTGCGCCTCAAATGTAAGTTTTTCTCGACACTTGGTGTCCACTGACATAAAAGGCCGAGTCGGTAGGGTGATAACTTTGGCTTGCTCATAATGCCAGAAATATTTGAGAATACTGGCGATTCACTATTGTGGGCCACCAAGTGTTTGCAACGCGTTGGTCAATCACAACGCGCAAAAATCTGTCGACCCTTTCCAAACGTGCGTTGGGTCGACAGATTCCGCGCATTGTGATTGGCCAACGCATTGCAAACCCTTGGTGGCGCACTATTGTGAAGCGGTTGTATTGTAATATAATTATTTACTTTTGTGTGAGTGCTACAGCCAAACGCATGCCTTTGTGTTTTGTCCATGGTCAGCATCATTTTGACGATAAGAGAGATTGCCAAGAACATATACCCATTTCGTATGTAACATTCACCATTTATTTTAAGATCCTTACAATTTAAAGATTCCAGATTTGTATTAATATTGTTCATCTTAACTTTGTCAGGAACGTGTCTTCTTTGACTCGCAGAGCGAATGTTATTTTTTATTTTCTTCATCACTAATATAATTCACGTGCGCGTGATGGGTTGAATTGCCAACTTTTTCCCGAGCGTTTTCTGGGCTTGGAACCCCGGTTTGATAAGATTAAAATTGGTTTGCTCAGGAGTGTGAAATGACGCCCTCAAAAGAAGTCCCGGAAATAGAAAACTACAATGTTAGCATACTAGGTCCTCGGTTTGGCAACTGGACATGTTCCCCCTTGGGACACCACGCTCACGCTGCAGAGAGGGGTTCCAAAGTTCCAAGCACAAGAAGTCATAAGAAAGGCAAATAAAGTCTTCTTTGAAGAGGCACTTTGCTAGAATAGAAAGGACAGGTAGACTTTGAACGTCAGGAACATAACGCCTGGTGATTTTACAGGTTGTAACCGCTCTCTTCAAGGCGCCTTGATGTGAATTTTCACGAATGCCATCGGGCGATCGTAATTACGTGAGCGTCTTTTAACTTCGCTCTTGACATCAGTCTTTCCACGGCGTCTAAAGACAAGTTCCCCAAAGCGGCCGTTTGTCTCACATCTACACGGATGCTTCTCCGCTTGTATCTCGCCACGACCCATCTATTTTGAAAGTAGAGCATCCTGGTTGTGCATGTAAAGGAAAGAACATCGTGCATTTATCATGGAAGACTACCAGTCTCACCCATAAAGCCTTCACGGTGCCGCCAGCGGCAATGTCATTTCATCTCCTGTTCACATCTGCTGACAGTCACGTTCCTTAACACAGCCACGTCCGTCACTTTCATCAGTATATCGTAATGATCGATGATCAGTCTCTGGCAAGATAAAGTCCTCGCATGTAAAAGGCTCTGTGACAGTGGTACAACGATTTGTTTTCCTGAAGACGAGGTTTTGGCGCCTTGGACAGAGGTAGAGCTGTTGTGCACTGCCCATAGTATTGTGCGTAGCGAAGCCTTTAATAGTGAATAGTTTACTTTGAGATACGCAGTGGCTGTTGTTCCCGTGGCATTACTGATAAATTTTAATCAATTTGCACTGTCATGACTAAATGCACTGCCCTAGTTAAATGACCATGTATTCGCGCGTCCTTGACGACCGAGATACGGCAGCTGAAATTCCTTATTATTGACGGGGCTTCCTCGGAATAGCCCGTGCAATATAAAGTCGGGCGATCATAGCCCAATTTTTTGTCAGATAACTGACATTTTGTTAATTGTGTTTTATTTCGACAGGGTAACCTTTTCAGTTAAAAAACTGCTATTCTTATGGGCCCTGAAACATTAAAACAAAATACAAAATAATTTAAACAATTAAAACAAAATTGGAGGAGAAATATGTTTTGTTTGTTGCTCCTTGGTTACAAGTATGATTCGTTAAAAGTTCGTACATTATTATGAGCAAATATTAATTGCCGTCAACTCTGGAGGGGGAGAGACCTCGTGAGCAACATCTTTAACTGCAAGGAAAAAGGAGGCAGTTGGCTCTATCCATTCGCCCGTTACAGATGGCCTGACTGTCTCTGGACTGCGTGATCAGCGTCCATTAAGTCAATCCCTGTCTCGTCTCTTAAGCGGCCCCGCTTCCCTGCACTGCGGTGCCTGGCATCCGAGCGATACAGGTTCGCCGGTGATCTAGTTACCGGACGACCCGTGGCAGATCCGTACGAATGAAGGGGAATCAATCAGACCGAAGCAGATGGGAAAATAGTTCAAGTTGGCATGGGCAGTGTTCCCCTTCAGGAATTAGAGAAAATTCTTCTCATTTAGTGCCCGTTTCACCAATAAGAAGGGCTCATTTTATTCTTTGGCGGCGTGATCAGCGATCATGGCGAGTGTACCCTCAGCCGATCTCGGGAGATCTCGATCTCGGGAGATTTCAGCCGTCCATTCGTCGGCCTTGTTCCCTGTGTGCTTCTCCTTCGTGAACTGCTCCTGATTTTCCCTTGGTTTTGCAATTTATACGCAGTCATTGTTGATGCGTTCGGTCAGAACAGATCGCACACAGTTCCACTCACTTTAAACTGATGCGAAGGAAGATAAAGGTAATTAATAATCACTGAAGGTTATGAAATTGATTACAGCTTAACTATAATTGGATGCGTGAATGTGCTCTTGGTATGTGCCGGATGTGTGTCAATTAAACCTTGTCTCACCATAATGGGCTCTGTCTATAAATTGTGGCCCCTTAACGCAGTGAAAAAAGGACGAGAGTAGGGCTGAGACTCGCACAGTCTTAATTCACCAGACTGTAGCGACCCGGGAGACAGTGCGGCCATGCACTCCGACCACTGCAAACGAACCAACGATCGACCCATTTTTACCAGGTGGGTCGGTCGCTCGGTTGCCGTGTGGACGGTAGTGGTGCCGCATTGCACAGTACGTTCGTACGTGGAGCGTAAGTAAGTTCGTATGCCAGCCACTTGGCTCAAAGACTCAACAAATCAGCAGTGGCAATGTATATTAACAGACACGTACACAGGGACTACCAAGGGGCCAGGTCGGTGACATCAAAGCTCTCGATCTCGGTGCATCGATTGAATTAATAAAATAATAACAAACCAAAGGTATGGTAAAGATTGTAGGCCCTCATGCTCATAGTTTGCTGAGGGGGTTTGTGCTCGTTCGTGTGAAGAGCCGCAGCGCACACTCAGTGTGTCGGTCCATGGTTGCAACCTCACACGCACGGAGTCAATTTCGTGCCAATCTCACCCAGTCACACTTCATTTAGTCCCTTTAGATGTAAAAAATTGAAAAATCCAATACCATCGACGCTCGAGTTACGAAGGACTTGAAGTGAACTTATCACATCAAGTTCCTGTCAGAACTGAGAGGCATTGTGGTGCTTCTTGAATGAATTCGGGGCAGACAAGATTCGTCAGGGCTTTCCCCACTCATTCTGCTTAGTCAGTTTTACCCCGATTCCTGTAACATTTCCCACCTTTTTACGGAACCAAAGACGGCCCCCTAAACACGTCATCTGGGATGTCAGGGGCGCATGGTGAACAACATTAATTAAACGTTACTTTTTGTCAACATACAGGAGCAGTTTCCATTAGATGCGCATTAGATACGTTTACGTTGTCCTTGTGCTTTGGAACTCAGAGAGTTCAGGGGCACATGGTTCGATGGTCATCGGAGACTCTTATGACAACGCCCCAAGCACTCTTCATGTCATAACCTTATTCTTGTATCTTTTTCTGGCACCGACAGCAGAAACTCTCCAAGTTTTCCACATGCACACACATTCTTAGGTTTCACTCGATAGTCTACTCGATCCCAGGGCAAACACCCGTGATAGAATTAAAGCCATTTTCCGGCTTATTTGCCTCAAGCTGCATCGATTTCCCTCGAATTAGGCTCAAGACTGCTGTCGGCCTAGTGCGTATAATAATTATGCTCGGTATCATGTTACCTTTGTCCCAAGCATTATATTTTAGGGATTTTTGCCAGGTATGGTAGGAATATTGTTGTTGCAACTGGATCGGTACATGTCAGTCAAGCATCGACTTCCTTTTCGGTGTTCATAGATGACTTGTTTTATTTGGTTTTCAAGCAGCGGTTACTTGCTTTGGTCGGTACGTGTCTAACAAAATATCCACCATTCCGAAACCAGGCTGGAGTATGTAAATGTCGCATCTCTGAAGAAGTTGCACATCCACCGTTCATCTCTGGGGAAGTTCCACAACTGTCCCTGTCCGTAATATTAGCAAACCTTTCTGCAAACAGAATTTTGATCTGGGATCGATTCGAAACGTAAAGGTAGTGGAGGAGAGGAGTTCACACATCATAATTACCTACCCGAGCCTAGTTTTGCAGTGGTGGTCACAGCTATCCCGCAATGTCTACATGACGTTGCACATTTTGTAAAGAATGGCAAAGTTGACAAAATAAACTGCAATCTAACAGTTGTTCGGCAGGAAATATTTCTGGCCAAATCTGTGCTTTAGATCAAGTCACTTGGGAGGTTTGAACCTGTCACAAGAAACGTGACGAGTGGCATTTTTGGCTGGTAACCTGCTTCTGTTGAGTGTTTGACCGCGTCTGAATCACTTGGCTGCGGCATGAAATTACACACGACTGCCATGAACGGTTCAGAAGTTATGCGCGTCGATTGCCGTTGGTCACTTAATTTCTTTGGGCCAGTAATTTCTGATGGAATTGGCAACGAGGAAAACGACGTATGACATGCCACGGTTTAATAGACATTATCCTTGCTTTTCTTCCTGTTTTCCAGGGGATCTTAAAACAATATCTTGCTCCATCGGAGAAGTGTTGAAAATGTCGGCCTAGTAATCAGATTTAAACACACTCTACCGATGATTTCCGTACCTTATTCTTTGCTAAAGGCGCGCGTCAGCTTTTCGATATTGGTACGTGGCAAGTTTGACCCAGTAAAAACTATCGTCTGTTATCGTGAAGCCCTGAGGGAAAT